CACCAACTCCATTTTAGTGGAGATAACGGGTAGTTGATGAGCCCATAGTGCAGGTAGCAGTGTCACCCACCCAGAAGTACACCCTGGAGCGGAAAAGGCACTATCGCCTCAGAATGATGTCTGCAGTAGGAGTAGACGCAGAGCTCAGATCGACCCAGGTGATAAGGCAATGACGGATGACGACTGCCTTGTGAGCACGTGAAGTGAGCATGAGAGCGGAATGTGAGCAAGGAATGCTTGCAATGCACAAATAGATCACGCAAAGATATCACAATGTGTGAGCACAGGACTAGACGGTGGAAAGATGTCACGAGGCAACATGCATGTGTAAGATGCAGGTAGAAGGAGTATAAAAGCGTGGTAGTTGGTCGTGTGCAGCATCCGTCTGAGGGACCCCGCTCATTCAAGCAGAGCTCAGTGGAGTAGGAGAAGGAGATGGAGGAGGAGAAGGAACAAAAGAAGAAGCAGCAGCAGGGTAAGGGGAAGGGAGGCAAGGAAAAGGAGAAGGAGATGTTTGAGCTGCTCCTGAAAATGGCGAAGGAATTATGTCCGTCGTATGTGGAGTGCATGGAAAAGTGCAAGAAGGAGCAGGAGAAGAAGTCCGGTGGTAGTGGTGGTGGTGAAGAGGAAGGTGAGGAGGGGAAGAAGGAGAAGAAGAAGTCAGGTGAGAAAGGAAAGGAGAAGAAGCAGAAGGAGGAGGAGGAGGAGGAGGAAGAGGAGTAGACTTCTGTAAAATGAGGAGAAGGATTGCTGTTGGCTAAGCGATAAGAAGAAGAGAAGTGAGGCGAGAGTGGCAGTGGCAGTGGATAGGAAGCACCGCAATTTCCGCTCACGCCTGTGCACCTGTTTCGTTCCTCAAACCTCTGCTATCCCGAATACCGTGAACGCGTCGATAAGGGTGTTCGTGTTCTTCGGGATCCTTAGCTCACATAGCTCTCTACGTAGATTTTCCCACTTATATACATGTAGATATGCGATTCTTGATGCGTTCATATTACATACGTCTGAAGAACCGTCTGTGTTGTTTTGTCTTTACCTCCCGTTGATTCCACTCGTTATCCCCTTTCTCACCATCCTTCATTTGAAATGTTGGCATTCGTCACCAAGTGTTGCGTTTGGATGCACCAACTACATGGAGGCGTGGTTGATATGTGTTGGATTTGTGGAGGGCAGTGAATTCGCCTTGGTGTTGGACAATGCATTGTCTGTCCACACTTAGTAGGAATGAATTCACTGTGATTAACATGTGCGCTGATTCACGGCAGTTGTGTGAGTAAATTGTGGAGGTGTTAGGATGAGGTGAGTGGTGTGAGGTGGGTTCAAGAGAATGCCGCTTAGAGATGGGATGTGATGTCTTCTGCACCAAACAGCATAGGTGTGCATCAGGGCTCAACGTTGGAGGAGGAGAAGAAGAATGACGTAAGAAATCAAGTTCGTGCGGGAAGCTCAGGAGAATGTGTGTGTTTGAAGTCTACCATCTGGGGTAGACAAGAGTATCGTGGATGGAGGATTTGGTGGAGTGCGGAGTGGAGTTCTGTGTGCAGTAGTATTCAACTGCCTAAATGGGTTGATCGAAATAGGGAGAGATGAGTGGAGAGGTGTTGGGATTGTGATAAGTACGAAGGAGGAGTAGTCAAAGCGTCGAGAAATGTTCCTGCTTTCCGTGGTTGCATTGCCGACTGGTGGGCGCAACACAGAAACGACTAGATGTAGGCATGTATTTGTGCATGCATGCCTGAACACTAGCATGGTTGCATAAGGATGAGTACATGCATATTGAAGTAGTTGGGCAGTTACAGAGACAGATGGATGAGTGGCGAGGTGGATAGTGAAATGTATGGGTATGTAGTGGAATTGTCGGCGTACAGTGCGTACAGTGGTATTAGTTGCGTGGCTTTGCGTGGTATGACTCAGTTCATTGTTGGAGAGGGGGAGCACTTGTGCTAGGAGTGATGGAGGTAAGGTCCAGTGACTGATTGGTTGGGAGAACACAATGAAGATGGAAATAAGACATGCGGATCTGTGACCACTGTGATAATGGGCGACTTTTCACTCACCAATCGGACCAAGTTGACCAATTTTAGGAGCCTCAGACAGCAATTATATTTCTTTGTATTAGGTTTGCACTGTGTCACCTCCAATTTGCATCATGAATAAGTCGGCAGCCCGACTTAAGGGAAACCATCTTGTTGGATTTCAACCTGCCCTAAATGTCCTGCATACTGCGGGCTTGTGCATCCGTAGACTCTCTGCATTGCAGGAACCCTGACATCACCAAGTTTACCCCACTGCCATTGTGCATTGTCGTCAGTAGTGCTTAAGTTCCTGACTACGCACCTCCACGTTGTCCCGCTGTTTTTCGCCTATTAATCTATTCAAGTCTCTTTGCCCAGAACTCACTGAAAATGTCTTTCAATTTAACC